ATTTTATGTGAAACCAGCAGAGCGCTTTGAGTTTGCATGCATAGAGTTGGCCTGCACATCTGCCGATTTTTAAACTTTTTTGAAACCAGCAAGCAGGAATTGCATCCAAAATCAACAAGATTTTATTCAAATGTGAGCCGTCCTATGGGTGTAGAATTCCTAGAAGATAATAGAAAATCCTGATTGTTTTTCTGGATTGAACTTGTAGATGACAATTGTGTTCAACAAGCACCTCTCTCACCTCCATCTATCAATTGCATCACCCCAACCTGGATCCTTCCAAACATCAACAACCTGCTCAACAATCAGTCCCTCTGAAGATTCAGAGCACACCATCCACTACCAAAAGAGAAAGTTACGTCCTCTTGGACTGATCCAAGTGGATTTTTCTGAAGGGATAAGAGGAGTATGGGCTGCTTCCTCTGGGTTTGATCTAATTGTGTAAGTCCAAGGGAGGGGTACTACATTCCTGTGGAGTTTTTGGATTGAAAATTGTATGTATTGGACTGGTGAATCTGTTTTGATTTTGGATGCACCAGAAAGATAGTCATATGAGCCTGTCACATTTTGGCTTACCGGATGTTGCCAGTTCAGCCTTGTGCTACAAAAGGGATGGAGGAGCTTCTGGTTGGACTGGTATTACTCTACATGGACACTTCCACTGATAAGGCCCATGGATAAGTCAACTAAAACTAAACAGGACTTCCAATCCACAATGGGGTTGGCAGCTTGATCTTTCTGTGTAGTACTAGAATTGGGGGCCATCCTTCTTGCTATTTGATTAGTTGCTTTCAAGCTTGTGCCCTTGCCTTTTTTTTCTTGCTGTATATATAAAGTTCAAGCTTATTGTGTTAAGTGGGCTCTTGTTCCAATTTTTGCACAATGATGCCAATAACCATACAAAAAAGAATGATTTAAAATTGCATTACTGAGCTTGCTCATATCTCACATCATCATAGAGGTGTGAGTAGACCAAATGTGACCTTCTGAGACAGCCTGTTTGGGCCAATGTAGCAGCTTTGAAGAGGCTTTAAACTGGACTGGAATTTGTTGTGTCAATCTTTTGCCAAATCCTTCAAGCCAAAATTTGGAGTTAAGTAACACTGCAAGCTTAATTGCCTATGTAGGTTGTAACTTGTGGGATCCCAGTTTGACTGGGATGCACTCAAACAATCTTAATTGATTTGATTTCAACCAATCAAACATAAACCAAAGGCACCTTGGATTTATATTTAATTGGATGAGTCTTGAGATCAGTCAACTTTAAATTGGTTGAGTGCATCCCATTTCAACTGGGATAACTTCAACCCAGCCAATTATATTGCTGGTAGTGCAAGGGCTGAAAGGAGTGCAAAATCCAATTTTCAACCCCTTTGATGTGGTTATGTGATTGTCAGTGTTTTTCTTGGCAGATGATCTTCCTAGTTGAACTGAGCTGAACATGGAGTATCAATCACCCCATGGAAGCATAATTTCTATGTAGCTTGACTGTGACACTTGTTGATTTGACATGGACCTGCTCAAGATTAGATTTGGTTAGACTCATGTGCTGTGACAAAAAAGGATTCCTTGCTCCTTTATATAGCAGTATATGTGCTATGTAATCTCTTCTATCTGCTTTGGGTTTTGACTGGGTGAGATGGGGAGAATAAACAGAGCATCAAGTCACACAAGCAACAAATATCACTCTCTCATGAAAGCGCACAACAACAACACCAAACTGCCTTCAGTTTTGAACAACTGCGAATTGAGATAAGATAGTAACTAAGCAGCAGGTCTTCTTCTTTCTTTTTTTGGGTGAATATATTTGCGCAAGGAGAGAAAACTTTCAAGAAGTTGTTTTCATATAAAGAGAGAGAGAGAGAAAAACAAATATAAGAATTTGAGAGAGAGAGAAAGAGAAGATTAATCATCCATTTCAGCAATTGTAGCTCTTCCCCTGCCTCTCCCTCCGCCTCGTCCGCCTCTTCCACCTCCGCGTCCGCCATTAGCCTGACCCGCAGCTCCCTCAGTCGATTGCCCATCTTGCTGGGCCAATGCTAGTGCACCTAGCTTGTAGGTCTGATCTTGCGAGATTGCTGTGATCCGCTTCGCACTAGAAGTCACACAAAATCAATTATTAACGTTTCCTCTCATCAATTGCTGATTGTTTTTTTGTTGAGTTGTGATTGGATTGTGAAAGCACAACACTAACCGTTCTATGACTGTTTGGTAAACCGAGGATGCGGGATGGTTCATCTGGACCGTATTCTGTTTTTTTGCATGAACAAACAAGTCAGTTGGGAAGGATAACATGGTGCAGATGAACATGCAGCATATGCACCTCTTTGAAGTCGATCTTGGCGTCCAAACGGGCATCTCGCACGAGGTTTACGATCCACTTCTCGCCCTCTTCTTGTTGACCGTCAGAGTTTTCGTTGAGTCCCAAGCGACTGGCGAGGTCAGCGATATCGATCCGATGGTGTACGCGACAATAGGTCTCCGAAATCATGATCCGACAGTTCTCTACCCAGGGGTTCATCTCCTCAGACAGGAAGAAGTCGACGTTGAAGACCTTCTCGGACTGTTTAAGTGCCTTCTGTGCGCCCTCGAAGTCAACTTTGACATATAGGTTGAGGAGGAAGTCGGTGATCGGGTCCGAGTATTGGTAGGACTCCTGGCTTACTGCCCGTAAGACCTCCTTGATGGTCTCTCGTGAGCCGCGGGAGGAGCTTGGGCCTTTGAGCGATCCAGAGCCGGCTCGCTTGGAGACGACGAGTGCGACGACGAGATATCTTAGGAGGTAGGGACAGCTAGTTTGGATGGTGTTTAGGTAGCCCTGGCCGAGCCATGCATCGACCAATGAGCTCCGTCCCTTATCGTGGTTGAAGTAGACGAACAGACTCCAGTGTAACCACCAGGTTCGCTGTTGGAGCGATTGGAGTGGGTTCCCATAACCAGTGCGCTGATCGAGTTGCTCCTTCAAGCGGTTGAGCTCTTCCAAGGCGGCATCGAATGAACCTTCCAAGATATCCGAGGCCAGTTTACCCCATAGTGAGGAGAGTACGAGTTCGTTATCGGTGGAGAGGACTCGGAAGTGATATAGGTAATCGGAGGAGCCCCCATAGTTCCCGATGGTGTAGTTGTAATGTCCGTATTGGTATAGGACCGCGATCTGGGATAGGCTAACATTATGCTCTTTTTCGAGATAGGCCAAGTTTTGGGCTTTATCCTGTCGTAGGGCAGCGACTACTTCGGGTGCGGAGATGACTGACATGATCTGGATGATAGGCCATAGAGAGAGTTGGATGATCAGTGTCTTGATTGAAGTGGGAAGTAAGGCTTCGCTCAACTTGATCGACCGATTCCTGCAGGGTGTCCAGCTTGTTCATGACTTGTTCCTCCTTCTGAGAGAATTCTAGGAAAGGGAGAAAGGGGGTTAGTCGACTTTCGATTTCTTTTTTTTTGTGAGCTGATGAATAGTTTAATTGATCGGGTGGTAGTACCTTGAGGGACTGGAGCCTGGTCATCCAAGTTGTGGAGTTCACGATGGAGGCCAGTAAGATAGGTGATCATATTAGTTTCCTTGAGTGCGTCATATTTCGCCTGAAGCAGTTGCTGGTGAGGATAGATTCCATTTGAATCGAGGCTGGTTGGAGTCCAGAAATCGGTTTCAGTAGGCTGCTGATGATGCGGTTTGGTGGATTTAATGGAAGGGACTCAACAATTCGAGTAGGGGCAAGACCAGATGGCGATCGAGTTGTGGGATTAAACGCTACGTATAGTGTGATATCCGAGTTGGGGGGTTAATATTCTGCTTGCGACAAGATGGCTGAGAGAGAGAGAGAGAGAAGGAGATACTGACTGATGTGAGATCGAATGAGTCCAGTCGTTGTTCGTTGTCCGAGTTCGTCATCCTGTCCTTGTTCTTGTTCTTGTTGGTTCTCTTTCAAAGTTTTCCTGTTTTTTTTTTTTTTTGGCTGATGGCTTGCTTGATTCCACTTGGAAGTTCGAGGACACCCACCTGCGCGATCGCAGCCCTGTTACTGGGCTGTCACAAGATCCTGCGACCTGTAACATCAGATGACTTCGCCCCGGCCATCTGGTGCAGACTCGCCGAGATCATGCCGACAGATGACTTGACGGGCACTTTAAATTGTACTGGTCTGCACACTGCAACATCTGAGTTATAATGAACTCTTGTAGGGCACAAGATTGAAGGTCGTCTCATCCTACCCCTAGCCTCGTCACCCAGACTGTCTGGATTATATGCACGCCAAGATACAAACAGTTCATGATGGCCTGACAGCCAAGCGTGATCGCGATTCGCCCACAGACGTGCCGGTTTGCCGGCTTTGACATTGATCAGAAGCGCCGAACGGCTCCGAGCTCCAAATATTTAACAGCACGAGCTAATCATAACCAAACCCCCGCGCGCTCGATTCCATGAGTCACAGATCCCGGCGAGGAATAGAAACCGGAGCGGATCCAAGGATAAGCTTCTGCAGATTAATGCGGCTTTGAGGGTCAAGACACAACTGGAAATGCTCTTCCCCACCTCAGGGCCGTCGGCAGAAGCCTGATCCCCGCTCAATCAGACAAGTCATCTGATGAATCGGTCGTCGAAGCTTTAGAATTTGACACGGATGTTGAAATATACTTATCATCGATACATACAAGACTCAGGATTTGTATGACGGAAGTAAGTTGGCAATCAACGAGCTTGTTCATCAGGATGTGGAGTCTCACCAGTTTATGGTTCCAACACTCCAACCAACAATCTGTATGAACCTGATCGTTCCTCAGTCTCAAACCACACTTTTGGATCATCTGACCTGAGGCTTTTCACTGACAGAGTGAGTGCGCCTGTAAGGAGATTCTCCTTGTATCTAAAGCTACGAAAACGACGGCAACTATTTGAGTCTCACAAGATTTACAATGTTGATTCGCTGAGACCAGTAAGAGCTATTCAACTATGGTGAATGCAAATCATATCATTCATCATTCCAGGGTTGCAAGCTGAGGCAGCAATATACGCACACCAGTATGGTAATTTCTTACTTCACAACATTAGTCCTTACCACCAAGATTAGACCCAGGATACAAGTTCCTGAAGAAATGCGCACAATATCATTGAGACGGCTACGAATGCCCTTATTGGGCTTTGTTCTTTGGTACTTGCGATTCTGGATTACCGCGGCTACTGATGGGATGTTGCCAATAAGTCATTCTACCGATCGCGACATGGATCCAGAGATATTCGATGACCTTGATGATATTACGGATTACGATTTCTTATCGCCTTCAAAAAGGCCGCGACTATCCGACCAACACGCTAATTCTATAAACTTAGGTTCAGAAAACTCTAATGCAATTGGTAAGGCTGAAGTGCTTAATGCATTATGCTATGGTAGTCATAGGTGGTAATTGATATGTGAACTCATTCTGTAGAATTCTTTGACGACTATTTTCCTGACCTTTCCGGTGGTTCAACTTCAACAAGCACTGGATCAAGGTCAACTCGTAGCTCCGACACTAGGGAGCCGAAGGACAAAGGTCAGCTTGAATCTGATCCATCAGCTCGCAGAATATGTTGTCTGTTGCTGATGAGCTGCTCACGACCCGATCAACCCATTCGATCTTCAAAAAGTTCCTGACGTAGGTATCTATCACGCAACCAATCCCTTTCAAGCCTCATTACCTTTGATGAAGGACCTTGGATGGCAAGGAGGAGTGACATCGGATCGACAAGCTGCACATCAACCCCTGCCAACTGTGAAAACCAAGCTACGTGGTCATAGGAAGCCAGGTAATTAGCTTGAATCATACTGAAATTAATTTGGAAATGATTTCTGACAAGATTGATCTTCCCCTAAACTGATCAAAAACTTTGGCTCCCAATGATCTAGGAGAAAGCCTTGGGATTTGGGGATCAAGAGCGGCATTGTTGAATACTTGTCAACCAATCAACCAAGTCCAACTGTCTGAGAATACTGATAAACCTCATGATCTTGAACATCTAATCACTCAGAAAGATATAATTGGAGATCAAGAAAGCCATCAAATTTTCAAAGACAAAACTGGTACAATTTTCAGAAATTTTGAGAGTTTCAAAGCAGACCAATCAACAGCGCAATTGATGAAGGGTTTTCAACAATCTAACCGGGCACATTTGCCTGATGAAATTCATAGTGTCATCCCACAGAAAGATCAAAATGAAAACCAAAGAAATCAACAGTCCATTGAACTTAAGACTAGGTTGATTGGAAAAACATTCAAACCTGGTATGATTGAGAAAAAAGTGACAGTCAAAAAGCCAGTGCAGAGAAATGTTGGGGCAAGTTACAAGGAGTTGGACAAGTTCAGAGCAAATAAGAAACTAGCTGGAATGGTTAAACGTACCCAAAACTTGTCTTGGCGGCAGAATGCTGAAGATAAACAAATAGCCAAATCTATTCAAAAGAAGATAAAGATGAAAATGGATGTTTTGAAAGAATTGTATAAGGTTAGAATCAATCCAAAAACCAAGTTCAAATTGGGAAATCTTTTACAGCAACCTGATCCAGAAGTTTCAGACAAAGACATCATTATTCATGTCTGGAGTCCTCAACTTGGATTACTGGATCAAGATGGGAAGAAGGCACATCACAATGTCTACATCAAGATTCCATTGCAATCTGAAACCAAGTTGGCACACAATAAAGCAAATCGTCTGGTGGGAAGAATCAAGCGGATTGCACTGACCTTAAATAATTTCAATCACTATCTCACCTTAGATCAACAGGATGAAGAAGAACTAGGAAATCTTACTAGTCATGATCACCAGGATCTAATGGAATGGTTTTATGATTTGATCTTTACTGATACTCAGGATCACCTTCCTCTCCTGGGTTGGGCACAACTCAAATTGCCACTAACAGAAGAAAACTATCATAAGAGGCTCAATCCCTCTCAGATACTTCTGTACAAATCTTTGACTCAGCAAAAAAAACTCACACGTTCTCAATCTGCTCATGTTGCCCTTCAACTGCGTAAAACATGGTACCAGTTTAAAGACGCAAGATTCCTCAAGAAAGGCAACTGAAATGAATGAGAATTTCAAAAAAAGAAACCCTTAGAAACAAATTGTTTTGATGTTTTATTTGGAATAATTAATTGAATCATTGTATTTAATCTTGTGTTCCTTTCATTATTGCCTACACACTATTAGTATTTATTCCCATTTTAATTTAAAATTTAAAATCTTGACTCTGAAGTCAACTTCCCACATATAACCAAATATCCAAATCATTTGAGTCTTTAATTCTGAACTTCCCATCTAAGTTTCAAAGAATCCAAGTCACATGTTTTATCATATTCCATTTGAGAGCTATATAAGATTTATTATAATTTTCTCAGTAAGTAGCCAAAATACAGTCATAGCATACATAGCATGGTCATTGATATTGATGATTAGTGCTAATAATAGTAGTTCTTATCTCACAAAATACTTAATCAAAGAGGCCTCCTAAATATCTTTGCAAGAAACTCCCCATTCCTTGCAGAATGCCACACAGCCTGCAAGCTTCAAGTCTTACCAGGGGCAGCTAAATTTGTAGCAACAGAAGAAATTCAAAGAATCAGTGTTCTAGATGGGGATGACACAATTCTATGAGAAAGTTAATTGGGATACAGGTAGCAATTTTTTAGAAAACTGTTTGAAAACACTTTGCACAAGGTATACAACATCTGATGTGACAACTAACATGCACTCATTTCACATGTTTTTGTGGTACATATTTCAATGGGATTTTCAATTGGGTAAAGGATCTGAATATCAAGAAAAGATACTTGAGCCCAAATTTGATGACAAATGCTGGGGTTTGTTTGAGATGGGCTATTTATCAGTCATTTTGAATTAGGCTTGCAGTACGTTGGGAGAAGTTTGGCACCATCCTCTGTAGATTGGTGTCAAAAAATGTGTTGTTCTATGCATGAGGGTTTTCCACAGTGTTTTTGAAGGTCAATGGCTATCATTCAGGAGTGGTGTTTGGGGGAGAGAGATCAGGGTAAATTTCTGTTGAGCTTTTGTGAAGGAATGAGTGGAAAGATACTATTTATATGATACTCTAGCAAATCACCCCATCCTTGAGTTTTTGGGCAAACAGCAGGTGCTGTAAGCCATTTCACCGCCATTACAATTTAGATATCCTGGATTTTTTTCTGTTGGATGTGCTTTGGCCACTGGTAATAAGAAAAAAAATGGAACAGATTGTAGGAGGTTTTATTTAAGTTGAAGGCTCCAGTCCCACTCAATTTATTTGAAACATAGATGTGATCATAACAAAAATAATTAAGTTGGTCACTGACATTTGAATTTGATTGGAAATCCCTTTCTGTCCCACTCTGTTTGTTTGCTGCACCCTCCTTCTTTTAACAGTGGTTTTTTGTTGCAAGTAAATGTGCACTTCTTTTTCTGGTTGCCTGTTAAATCCACAGCAGCTGAAAACCTGTTGAAATTATACAGAGGAAGTGGTAAAAGTTGGTGTAGCCAAAAAGCAGACAAAGTCTGTAGTAATTATTGATCCTTTTTGAGTGGGCTCAAGTGCACTTGGTGACAGGCTGAGAAGAGGCTAATGTGTCTTCACAGGATAAGTTATGATCTGGACTGATGCTTTTTAATTTCTTAAGTGTAGATGATTTTAAGTAGACTAGATACACATGATCAACATGTAGGAACATTGAGGATGCATAATGAATAAAAAAGAACAGTAAGTAACATATCTGTAACAGAGGACAAAGGAGAGAGATCAAGAGGCAAAACCAACAAAACTCACAAGCTATCATTGACACAATGATCACTGATATTGAAAATAGCATGATGTGGTAGGTAAAGGAAAAAAAAAACCCTTATTGTCTTCCAACCAGAAAGAGGAGTTTGGGGTGCCAAGAACACCTTTGGATGAGAGAGAACAAAAAACAGAGAATGACAAAAACAAAAGAGATGAAATGAGTTCACACCTGACACATCATCCCTGTCATGATTTCCCAGATGGGAAATCTTGTAAATTTTAGGGAAATCCTGTAAAAAAATTAAAGATTTGTCCAGATGTTTTAGATTTTTCTAATTTTTTTAGATTTTTTCAGATTTTTTAGATTTTTTCAGATTTTTTTAGATTGTTTCAGATTTTTTTGATTCTGAGAACTAAGGAGATTTTTCCAGATTCTTGGGCAACAAAATTCACAAGAGATCATAGACACAATGATCACTGATCTCTTAATAAACAATTCAGGAAAAATCTAAAAAGAAAAGAAAAATTTTAAAAATCTAGAAAAATGTAAAAAATCTGAAAAAATCTAAAAAATCTGGAAAAGTCTAAAAAATTTAGAAAATATAAAAAATGTGGAAAAATGTTTAATTGTTTTCCCGGGTTTCCCCAAAATTGACAAGATTTCCCATCTGGGAAATCATGTCAGGGATGTGTGAACAACTGCAATGAGAGAAATGAAAAGAGATCAAGTTGACGATGAGAGAATAGTTGAACATTTGAAACTTGAATGAAGAAAAGGAAATTACAACTGATAGAAAATGAAGTATAAATAGACCCTTCTCCATTAGGTTTCAAAAGCTGTCTTTCATCATTGTGCAATCTCTGCTCCCTCTGTCCTGTGCAGTGATTCAGACAGTGAGCATCAAATTTGAATATTGGGAAAATTTTCAAAAGATCATCAGGAGTGCATTTATGGAGACATTGACCTCGGCTTTGTGATCTTGGTATACCTTTTGGTGTAAGACTGATAAGCAGAAGGTCTACAGAGCCAAGGTTAAAGCTTTTTGTAATCAGGGTAAGTGGTTAGCAGTCTCTTCCACCCACAATTTTCTTGTTATATGTTCTACTTCTAATTATTATGTTGGGCAATACATAGCTAGAGTACATCTGGTGATTGAGCATCCTGATTTTTGTGCCATTTGTCCAAGCAAAACTATTTCCTTTATAGACTGTAGGTTATTAGTAACAAGGAAGATTTGTGACGATGGCAAGCTCAATCAAACCTCAGAGCCAACTGTCTTTTGTAATTCTATCTGATGGCCAATTGAGATACAGATTGATCTGTCGCGCGCAAGTTTTAGGAAACTATACAAGAGTAGTTTGAAACACATTACAAAAGGTAAAAGAGCTCAGCTATGAAACAATTTAGAACATGCTCTGCTTTCACAAATTTATGTGGTACATAATTGGATTCAAATAGAGGCAGGATTATGCGCCCTTAAGAGCAAGAAAGGAAACTTTGCAAATTTGATGGCGGATGCTCCATATGTTTGAGATATATCATTTATTAAATTTGCATGCTTCAGGTAAGAAACCCATTCCACGTGGATTGCTGTCTTGACATAAATTGAACTTTGATTGAGGGTCGTTTTTATTGTTTGTCAACGTTAAGGTCTATCATTAGGGGGTATCAAATATAACCAAATCCACCATTATTTAATTCACTGGTTTGAAAAAATCCACACTTTTTTAAACATGTTTGTTATTCATTTAACCCCTTCTGGGGCCCATTACAGTCAACTCTGCTCTAACCCATACCTGTATTAACCCATACTCTCCTGTAACCCATGGCAAAATGTGTCCACCAAGTTGGTGGACAGCCAAAAAAGGCTATCAAACCCATAACTCTCTAATACCCAGTAACCCATACCATATGGAGAGAAAAATACAAAAAATCATGGGTTTTTCTCTAACCTTACTGAGGGGTGGTTCAGATGTTTCTTGCTTCCAAAAACTAAATCCTTCCAACCAGTCTATCATGGAAGAGCCACCCATCCCAAAATAGCTCCTTCAACAGGGTGATATACTGTCTTTCAACCAATCCAACTCAGATAAACCGGAGGATCTTGCTTATTCCAGCTCAATTGATAACATTCACATTGATATACTTTCAAAAAAATATCAAGCTTTGCAGAACTAAGTCAAAAAAGAAAAACAAGGAACTGGTGGAAAAACAAAAGCAGAATGAGCTTACTGGAGGACTTCCCATCAACATCTGGGGGTCTCCCAGAGTCGGTTTAGAGCCTTGAATTTCAAATTTCTCTGCGAGAATTAAGAGTTTTCCGGTCTAGATTGACTTCTGCAAGGGTCCCAGATCCAATGGGAAGTCCTCCACTGAATCCAACAAAGAGTGGATGGATAATGAGGTGAACTTGATTGAAAACCACAAAGTGTTTTTCTCTCCATTAAACCCATGAAATCATCATTTGATGGAGAGAAATTCCAGGTCTTCCCTCACCTCTTTGTTAACCCATAAAAACATGAGTTAATGAAGGGAATTCTCTAAACCCATGAATCATGGAGAGAAATTCCAGGTCTTCCCTCACCTCTTTGTTAACCCATAAAAACATGAGTTAATGAAGGGAATTCTCTAAACCCATGAATCATGGGTTAATAGGGAGCCTCTTCCTCCACCCATACTCTATACTAACCCATAGTGTTTTGTGTCCACCAAGGGGTATGGGTTAATACAGAGTTGACTGTAATGCAAAAATATATTTTGGGAAAAGTGACTGGTTTCTAATGGGGGATTTCCTATATTTGATACCCCCTATTCAGTAGTGGTTTTTTGGGGATATTGAAAGAGATTTGGGTCAATTGTGTGTGATTTGGAAATGGATTGTGTGGAAAACATAAAATGTTGTGGGACTCTACTGACCCCATGCTTTGGGAGTTTGTTAGGCACACAGCAAGTGCTGAAAGCCATATCAGTGCCAACACAATTGAAATATCCTGGGTGGTTTTCTGTTGGATGTGCTTTTACCACTGTTGATTTAAACAAACAATGAAGGAGGTTTTAATTTGAAAGCTGTTCAGGTGGTCACAACGGAAATAGGGATAAGCTTAAGACTGACATTGCCATTTGGTTGGTTTGCCTTGGACATCCCGCTCTATTGGTTTTCCGCACCATCCTTCCGGCATCTTGGCCGTATCTTTGCAAGAAAAAGTGGATAGTACAGTTGATTATGATTGACACTTGATTCTAGACTATGTAGACAATCCAGGGAGTTTGTTAATACATTTTTGCAAAATGCAAGGCCAAAAAATTCTAAACTGTTCAGAAGGCAGTCTTTTTTTGATACTAGTCATTTCATGTCCAGACATTGCTTTTTCCAGGCCCATGATCTGTTTGAAGATCTATGAGCCGGCCGTCTTGCTGGGATTTAATAATTGTGGCTCCGCTCACGACCAACCTCGTTCAAAATGTGGTTGATCATTACATTATGGCTCTCTGACTCTAACACACAATCGATATAGTTCCCATTGTTGCTCTGACCATATCTTCAAACTATGTATTTGATCTGAGGTTTCATCGGCAGAGTAACTGCTGCAGCGAGATCGGCTTCTATTTACAGCCAAGTCAACAACAATAGCTGACCTCGCAGCCTTGTTTATCCCTCTGTGAGATCTGTGAGAGAAAGGTACAGATGATGAATGCAAAGTTATACTATACCACTCTCTAGCCAAAAATTAAAAGCTTATGGCTGCAGTTGATGGACATAAAAGGATGGCAAGTTTCCCTTCGAAGGCATTTATCTATACACTGGAACCAAGATCTAATTTCTACCTAAAGAACTCTGTACAATACTTCCCAAAATGACTCGAATCCGACTGACCTTGATCTTAGGCTTGGTTCTTTGCCACTCAAAATTGACGATCACTATGACTAATGAAGCGACTTCATCATTAATTCAAGCTCCGGCTCATGACATGGATTTCAAGATGTTCGAAAACCTTGATGACATAGCTGATTGCAATCTGTTAGTCCCTTCAAACAAGCCACGTCTTTCAGATGAACATACGCATTCTATAAACCTAGATTTGGATAACCCCAACTCGAATGGTGAGGTACTCAGTGCATTTGTATCTTTTAACAGGAATGGGGGGTTATTGATATGTGCACTCAACCCGCAGAGTTCATTGAAGGCTATTCTTCTGGCGTTTATGATGGTTCAACAAGCTCCAAATCAGATTCATCCTCCAGCTATAGTGTTGGCAGTGCATTTACGGACAAAGGTATATAGCTGAATCAAGTTGAAGGATATTTTGTTTGCTGGAAATGGGCTGCTGACTACATGATCAAATTGTAATTTGGCTTGAAAACATTCCTGTAGATTCGCATGATGCGGTCAATTCTTATCGACAAATCCCACTGCCTTTGCTCAAAGAAGAAGGCGGACAGCCTCAAGGATCGATAGTAGATCATCAAGCTGGGTTTGAATCCCTGCCAACCGCGAAGCCCAAGCCGAGTTCCCAGAGGCAGACAGGTGAGTTTGAAGGCCACTCAAACTAACTTGGAAACGTTACTGCTAGCGCTATTTGTTGGAATTCTACAGCCGTGGTGTCTTTCCTTTCTCTCCCTTTCACATCCTTGTCACTCCTTTCCACATCTGTCACTCACTTCTTTCCTGCTCCAGATGAATATGCTTCTGTCACCTTCTGTCCCACATCTCAGCCCACTTGTGTATGTAGATAAATAATCATGCTCCTGAGTTAGAAATTGAAAGCATCTGTTCTTCTGCGCACTGATCCCTGGAGTCTCTACAAGATACAACTCCTTGTAGCGTGTGAGCTTTTCCTCCACGCAAGCTAGCAGCACTTAGCCCTTTTTTGGGCTCTCAGACCTTTTTGTTTGTTCCTCAGAAGTTTTTTCTTGAGGCTTTTTCATCTCCCGGTCTCTCCCCACTCTCATCAAACTCTCCTAGTTTCTTCACTATTTGACTGATATGTCTGCTTGGGCTCGCACCCATTCAGCATCTGACTCTGCGCCTGTGACTTGGGAATCAAGCACGCAATTGATGAAAGGTCATCTACCACAAGCGCAGGTGTCTGCGAATACGCAAAGGCCTGATGATCTCAAGAAAGCCTTTTTCCTACAGAGAGCTCAACCTATGAATCGCAAACGCAAAATGCCCGTCCAAGTCTACACGGACAACGACAAACTGATGGAGGATCTTATCATATATTCCCAAAATTTCATTCAATCCCAAAGCACCAAAGATAGAGATGCACTCCGAGTTGTCCAAGATCAGATCGACGCGAAACAAAATGAAATAGCACAATTACAAGCGCGCCTACTCAGCAAGGCATCGAGAGTGAAATTGGGAAGGCTTTTAGTGCAGAAGCCCGATTTGGAATTTTCCGAGAGAGAGATCTATATTTTTCAAGAAAGTCCTGATAGTCAATGTGTTACAATCAGACTGTTAGCGCATAACGAAAAAAAGGGACCAAAGCATAGGGCCAAAAAGCTGGTGACCAGAATCAACTATATTGCACAGTACCTGGATGGTTTTGATCACTTATTTTCTCTGCTTGAACTGGATGAACGTCAGCGGCCGGGAAGCGGAAGCGAGCCGGCCGGTGAACGGGAGGTTCTCAAATGGTTCTACGAGTTGATTTTCGTTGATACTCAAGATCATCCGCCTCTTATGGGCCCGGCTGAACTTTCGCTGCCACTATCGGAAGAACAACAGAAAAAATACAGCCCAGCTCAGATGATTCTCCGCAAAGCATTCACCCAGGAATCCGAATTGACCAGCGCTCAAGCGGCTGCTGTCGCCTTGAAGTTGCGCATGGAATTCGACCAACCACAATCCCCAATGTCCCTTGACAAACTGGTTTCAAAAGCATCAAGCCTAGTCTCAAATATACATCCAGTTAAAAGGTTTCAAAAGGAACCAGTCCCTTGAACCAGTAACATACATGACCAGTTTTGCTTTGTTTTGCATTACATAATTTATCACGTTTAATCTTGTGTCCACTTTTTTTTCTAGTATTGATGTCCACTAAGACACCTAAGATATCAGTTGTCAGGTCGAATTAATCATTTATGCATAGCATAATTATTTCTCACTCATTTTTTCCTTCATGAGGATGACCTTCCAGATTTTTAATTTTTTCTTACAAACATTCATCGCGGATGATCCTCAGAATCAAAGCTTGAAATCTGTGCCAACAGTGAGCCAAGGATTGTATACACTATAGCTGGATTCTCAACAATTGACATGTATAGTATGTGGATAGTGATTATGAATCTGGTTTACATCTGAGTCTAAAAGACTAGGACAGTTCAAGGACTCCATATTGTATCATCGAAGCTTGCAAACTGTTCAGAAGGCAGTCCTTTGCTGACACTCATATTCATTTTGTGTGCCGACATCGCTTGAACCAGGCCAAGGCTTTTTTTGGAGATGTTAGCCGCCGGCCGGCCTCGTTGGATGGCTCACCGACGTTGATCGGAATGCGGTTTTGTCATCGCATTATGGCTCTCAGACTCTAACGGACAATCTGTATAGTCTGGACCATTGCTCTGACCATATTATCCTCAATCTTTTGATCCGAGGCTTTACCGGCAGAGTGATTGCTGCAGCGAGCTCGTCTTTTTTACAGCCAAGTCACCAGCAACAGCTTCTGACCTCATAGCATCGTTTTCCCTTGATGAAATCTGTGAGAGCGATTTCCGGAGGATGAAGACACGGTGTATTATTCTTTATAACCGAATATTGAAAGCTATGGTTGCTGTTGATAGACATATAAGGAGGGTAGGTTAAAGTTGTGGCAAGTTTTCCTTCGGGCAACATTTATCTATTGATCTGAACGAAGATATAATTCCCAAAAGAAATCCGTTTAATACTTACCAAGATGACACGAATCCGACTAACCTTCTTGGGCTTGGTTCTTTGCTACTCAAATGTAGTGATCACTATGGCTGGTGAAGGGATGACATCATTAAGTCATCCTCCGGCTCACGACATGGATCAGTGGATGTCCGACCACCTTGATGATATCACTGATTGTAACTTATTAGTCCCTTCAAACAAGCCACGTCTTTCGGATGAACATACGCATTCTATAAACCTGGATTCGGATAACCCTAACTCGAATGGTGAGGTCCACAGTACAATTTGAATCCCTTAGCAGGAATGAGGGGGGTTAAGTTATTGATGGGTACACTCGATCTGTAGAATTCATTGAAGGCTATTCGTCTGATCTTTTGCATAGTCCAGAAAGCCCCGGATCAGATTCATCCTCCAGCTACAGTGTTGGCAGTGAATTTAGGGACAAAGGTTTATTATTACTCAGTCAAATTGCAGGATATATTATTTATTGGAAATTCGCTGCTGACGAGCTGATCAACTTATGATTCGAATTTTTAGACATGCATGAAGCGGTCAATTCCTACCAACCCTCATTGCCGATGGTCAAAGAGGGTGGCCAGGCTCAAGAATTGAAAGTAGCTGACCAACAAGCTGATCAGCACGAATCCCTGTCATCTGTGAAGTCCAAGCCACGTTCCCAGAGGCAGACAGGTGAGCTTGAAAAATTAACTTGGAAAAGGTTAAGCTGTTATACTTTAGCGATATTTGTAAAACTGATCATACATACAACCGATATGGCTCGCAATCATTGATCAGGATCGGACTCGGCGCCTGCAACTTGGGGATCAAGAGGGCAATTAATGGAAGGTCCTCAACCTGATCAAGGGCAGGAGCTGGAAAGCCCTGACAATCTTGAAAACGACGTCGTTCTCCTACAGAAGGCTCAACGTGCTACTCGAAAACGGAAAACGCCCGTCCAAGCATCCACTGGGGTTCCTTACAGCGCCATGGACGACGGCAAACTAATGGACAAACTTGTGATATATGCCAGAAAATTGAGTGAATCACAGAGTGCCGAAGATAGAGAAGCATTCCGAATCGTTCAAGCTCAGATTGCCGCGAAAAGAGAGACACTGATAAAATTACAAAGGCTTCAAGTCACCGACGCATCAAGAGTAAAATTGGAGAACAAGATTGTGCAGGAACCGGATTCGGAATTGACGGAGAGAGAGATCTTCATTTTTCCCAACCCTCCCCCTGATAGTGACAGAGTCTCGATCAGACTGTTAAGGGATAACAGAACCAAAGGAGCAATCTATGTGGGAGAAAGGCTGGTGACCAGAGTTGATAAAGTTGCCCAGTTTTTGGATATTTTTGATCACCTGTTTTCTCGGCTTGCACTCAATAATAATGAACGGGGCATCAGGCCGGCCCAAGCTGGAGATCACCGGGAGGTTCTCGATCGGTTCTACAACCTGATCTTCACCGAGACCATGGAGCATCCACCTCTCATGGGATCGGCTAAACGTTCCTCATTAGCGGGAGAACAGCCCAAGAAATTCAGTCCAGCACAGATGTCCCTGTACAAAGTGTTGACCCAGAGACCCGAATTGACTAACGCTCAAGCGGCTGCTGTCGCCCTGAAGTTCCGCCAGGAATTCGACAAACCGATGTCCCCTATTGGTGCAATGCCGCTTCATGAACTGGTTGCAAAAGCATCAAGCCTGGATCCAAGTCTAGAGCCAGTCAAAAAAGTTAAAAAGGAACCTGTCTCGTGAAACTAGTATGCCCATTTTATTTTGCACTCCGTAGTAACTTGTTAGTTTTTTTAAGCTTGCGTTTCTTTCATTTTTTTAAAAAAAGAAAATCCATTCCTCACTTTAGGATAATGGACTTTAACATATGCGTAGAGCAGATGTTTCACCTTGATAATAATTGTTCACTTTCGTTTCCACATGATAATTCTTGATTATTATTTTTTTTCTCCTAATTAGCAGTCATGGTTGGAGTGAAGTCCTCATAAGAATGAAGCCATCCGAGCCAGTGGAGCGGTTGAGGTGATTGTCTGAGTTGTGTGCTGGATGCTGAGTGAAGGCAAGAGGAGATGGTTGAGTGGGCTTATGTGGTTGATTTAGGTTTTTTGAGTCTAGACTCCACTCGAGCTGAATAGTCTCGAACCATCCACTCAGACAAGCTGGTCTCCCTCCAACCAGAAACCAGAACATCACATCCATCGTTCCCGATGGAGGACCATCCCCAGCAGCAAGCCAGCGTGACGGTGGACATCGAGGCGATCGAGAACCAGAAGGAGAACATCCAGCCGATCAAGTCAGGGCCGATCGGCTGCCCAACTAGTCTCACTCTTCAACCCCAAAGCAACCTCGTCTTCTGCTGCTTCACCACTCGCTCATTCGGCCTCGAACGCTCACAACCCAATCAACCTCATCGAAACCCGCAAACGATCTCATGAGAAATTTCAGCATCATATCCGTCTCCTCGAGGATGCTTTGGAATCAAAACCAATCTCAAATCCTCACGATAAATCTCTGGCAGAAGAGTTGATGAAAGACCCCTTAGATATCTATCTCCAGTAAGAGTATTTTTACATGTTTTTGGTTGGCAAGAGAAAAAAATTACGGATCTTAAAAGACCGGGGGTTTTTCTTTGTTTTCAATTTTTCAGGTACATTCGTTGGACGATCGAGGCTTATCCAGCCGGAGGAACGAGTGGCGAATCTAAACTGATCCCCCTATTAGAGCAAGTGACGCGGAAATTCATGAAGGATGAGAGATATCAACAAGACATCAGATACTTGAAGTGCTGGATATTCTATGCGAATCAAGTCAACACCACCACCACCACCAGCGACCAAAAGGGCTTATCATCAACCATCGTCCCCAACAATACCTCGTCGAAATTGGTGTTGAATTATGTGATCCATCATCGGATCGGGACCCGATTCGGCTTGCTCTATCTGGAATACTTCAAGCTCTTCATGCCGCTTCAGAGATTGGAGTCCAACGAAACCGACCGGTTCAAGCTGGAACAAGTCCTGAAATTCGGGATCTCTCAGACGGTGGATGATGAGCTGAACCATCACCAACTGGTCGAGCGACTCCACCAAATCCAGTCAATCGTCAAGAAGAAGGCCGATCTATCAAAGTGCAACCCAGAAGAAGAGGGCTCGAAAAGGCCAACGAAAGCAGGGCCCAAGATGAGCAACACCAACAAGGCCAAGACGAAGATGAAGATCTTTGAAGACCAGGAGGGACATGCGGGTGCGAGTTCCGATCGCATGGACCCACATGATCAAGGAGCAGGCCTCGGCGAAGCCCTGCCCGAGCCCCCGTTCTCGTTGGTCTCCAAATGGGATAACCTCGGCACCGTCCATTCCAATCGCAAACAGAACACCCTCAATCCGTCCTCCTGGAAAGGCCAGAAACTGCCCATGAAGATCGCCAAACCTTCAGCTGCTACCTCTCACCACTCCCCTCTCATCGTCACTAACCTCGATCAACCCCCGGCTTCTTCAACTAGGTCTAAGATTAAAGTCTATGAGGATCACTTTTCCGTTCGTATTTCCACTCCTAAAGAAAAATTCATGTCGAGACATTGAGATATTTTCCTTTTTCTCCATTTTTTTTAGGATGATGACTCAATATCTCCGAAGCAAGATAAGATATCAGTGGAAGAACCTGAGGGACAAAGTAGCAGCTCAACGACTTATACTGATCAAGGTCCCCGCCAGAGTGGGGAGGAAGAGGCAATGATCAATCCGCATCTGTTGGACGACCTGTTGACCTCGGAGATCGAAAGCCAAGCGCATGCTATCCATAACCAAGTTTCTGTCGATCATCGTGACCAATGCCAAGTCTTGAACTTCGACCCGCTCCGATTCCTTTCCTGAAATTAACTCTTGTTTTTTTTTCCTTGGTTCTAATATTGGGGATGTATATTGTTTGAAAAATGAGGGGGGTGGGTGGTTGGTATATGTGATGAATGGTGATGGAGTAGGTTTACACGAATAATGCCTCTTTGTATTTTTTGGGGGTTTTCTATATACAATTGTATTATTTTTGTTCTATTTCCTTTTTTGTTGTAAATTGGGGATTACACCAAGAAGCGATCCTGATGATGAGAAAAAAAAAGTGAGAGGACGTCTGAAAGGTGGAATAGATATGATCCTATAGAATATGCATAAACAGCTTAAAGAAAAGATGTGATTGAGAAACTTGACTAATCGCAATGACCGTCATCCCAACCATCTCTCCAGCGTTTAGAAACTTGGCTACAATCGAAGAGCTCTTTGCCCAAGCGTTGATTGACGTCATTATGGGCCTCACAGAGCCAACGTTCGAGCTGGGAGCGATTATCGATTTGAGGCGGGAAGCGGGAGAGATAGTCCTGGAGATGAGAGGCGCAAGGTTGACAGGGATAGATGGTAGCAAGGGAGGTGATGAGTTGGCGGACGGAGTCTTGCTGGGTCTTGCTCGGCCGCTCGACGGGATAGTAGGCCCCGATGGTGTGCAGTAAGGTCCAGGTGTGTCGGCCTAAGCGGCTAGAATCCGCCGGACAGTCCGCCCGCTCCTCCACTATCGTTCGCCCCGTCCTGTCGTCTCCTCCCTCGGCCACAACTTCGCTAACCCTCTTCCCTTCGTCTTGCTTGTTGATCTCCCGCTTGGCTTGCTTCGTCCACGCTTGAAACCCGCTACACACTTTACATGGCTTCCCATCCGGCCCGATAATCATGCCGGGGTTCACTTCTCCTGCATTCGAGTTAAGCAAATCCAATTGATTTAAGAAAACCCTTCTGACAATGGGGGCGTGTCAAAAAAAGAACTCACGGTTTTTACCATTTTGGTTTGATGTTGATGGTGATGGTAGTGCCGCTGAAGAAGAAGAAGAGTCCAAGGGCGTGGAGGAAGATGGATCCATGGTCATTCTTTCGGTTGGGAATCAGTTGAAGATGTTTCTCATCGGTTCTTCGCCGAACTGGTGTCTGTATGCGCTCGGGCCCTCCCCGGAGTCCCCCCCCGAAAGGAATACAATACCCCCGTTTCGCGACAAGACGTCGGCCCCTGCCAGTGTCACCGAACGCTTGCTAACTTAATGAAGTCCCTCTGTATTCGGAGGGGGGACGCTGTCCCGCAGGGACCCTCCGAAGGAGGGACTTATGCGCGAAGTCCCAACCCGTGCCCAAGTTGATTAGAAAATTAGTAGACCAAATTTTTCAATCTCCTCTGTGCTTTTCCTGAAACATGCTATCAAAATTCTGCCTTGACAGAAATGACCGCTGATTTTTTCTCCGTCACCCCATCTGGCCAGATGAGACATTTTCATGAATGTCATA